AGGATGGGGGGCTGTGCTTGGAGCTGCTGCGCCCTGCAGAGGCGCCCGCGGTTTCTGCTCCCGGCACACCCTCCCTGAGCACTCTCCCCTCCCAGGTCTGTCCATGCGGCTGCTGGAATCGAAAAAAGGCCTGTCCTTGTTTGCGTTTGAGCACAGTGAGGAGTACCAGCAGGCGCAGCACAAGTTCCTGTTGGCGGTGGAGTCCATGGAGCCCAACAACATCGTGGTGCGTGGTCCTCGCAGCTCGACGGGAGCAGGGCCGTGTAGCCACCGCTGCACTGGGCCGTGTCCTTCCCTGGTGACTGGGGGAGGTGTGCGGCCTCCTGCCCTTCCCAACAGGAAGGGCGCCTGTCTCTGCAGAGCCGTCAGGCCCCGTGACCAGAGGCTCTAGGCAAAGTGAAATCTGTCCACTCTCCAAGGAGAGCCTGGAGCGCTGCTGTCACTGCCCATTCTTCGAGACCGTTGCCGTGTGACGCAGGCCTGGGACTTTGGGGCCTCTTGCTGCTGCCATTGCCTCCTGCTGGCTCAGCACAGGGGAGCAGCTCAGATTCCCTGCCTCTGGACCGCCTGTCCACCTGTCAGTGACAGCGTCCTCTCCTCACAAACCCTCAGGCTTGGTGCCCCCGGGTCCCGAGATCCTAACCAACCCTGTCCTCAGAACCAGAAGGAGGTCGTCCTCCACGCTCTCTGGACACCCTCATCCCTGTCCATGCTGCCTCAGGACTGTGGTTGGGGGCAATGTGCTTTTGAGAGCTCACCGTCTTCCCTGTGGGAAAAGCAGGCTGCTGGCTTCCACACCTCATTTTTGGGGCTTAGTGGGGAGTTAGATAGCCCCTGGCCTGGGCGTGTCAGGTTCTGAGTTCTGCTTTAAGTCAGATGCTTGGTTCAGCTTAGCAATAATAACTAGCATATTGTGAGTTGGGAGGATGTTGTGACTGTCACCCCTGGAATTTATTCCCCCCCCCCCCTTTTTTTTTTTTGAGTCAGAATCTCATATTCTCACCTAAGCTGGAGTGCATTGGCTCAGTCACAGCCTGGGTTTAAGCAATTCTCCTGCCTCAGCCTCCCGAGTAACTGGGATTACAGGCATGCGCCACCACACCCAACTAATTTTTGTATTTTTAGTAGAGACCAGGTTTTGCCATGTTGGCCAGGCTGGTCTTGAACTCCTGACCTCAAGTGAACCTCCTGCCTCAGCCTCCAAAAGTGCTGGGATTATAGGCGAGAGCCACCGTGCCTGGCAGGTTGATCTTAAACTCCTGACCTCAAGTGATCCTCCTGCCTCAGCCTCCCATCTGGCCTCCCCTGGTTTTAAATGCCTGAAAGGCATGCCTGGGAGCTGGTGCCCTGCTGGGTGTCTGTCCGCAAGAGGGCTGCGTGTGGCTTTCCTCCAGGCCTGTCCTCCCTTCTGGTAGGTTCTGCTCCAGACGAGCCCCTATCACGTGGACTCGCTCCTGCAGCTCAGCGATGCCTGCCGCTTTCAAGAGGATCAGGAGATGGCTCGAGACCTCGTAGGTAAGACGGAGTCCCCCACCCTATTCCCATCAGCTGTGGGAGCACCTCAAGCCATCAAGACAGATGCGGTGGTTTGAGATGTCAGAGGATGCAGGAGGTTTGCCAGGATGTCCGTGACAGCTTTATTGAGACACTGCCCACAGAGCACAAAAGGCACCCATTGATAGTTACAGTGTGCTGGTATTTAGTAGATGCCAGAGTCGTCCAGCCACGCCATGATCAATTTCAGATCATTTTCATTACCCACAGAAGAAGCCCCTCAGCCCCTTGTGCTGCTGTTCTCCTTCTGCCCTGTGGATTTGCCTGTTCTGCACGTATCCCGTAAACAGAATCTTATACTATGTGGTCTTTTGTCTCTGGCTTTTATTTACCATAATGTTTCCAAGGTTCATCCTCACTGTAACATGGATCAGAACCTCATTCGTCTTTATGGCTGAATAATAATCCACTGTGTGGTTAGACCACGTTTTGTGTATCCGTCATTAGTTGATTGCTGTCTGGGCTCTTTCCGCTTTTTGACTATTGTAAATAATAGTGCTGATGTGAGCTTGCACGTGCTGGTCTTATGTGGACGCGTTTGTGCTGGACACGTGGATGCCTGGTTCCGCCAGCACGTGACACGTTTGTGCTACACGCGTGGACAACTGTTTCCACCAGGACCTGACACGTTTGTGCTGCACATGTGAACACCTGGTTCCGCCAGGATGTGACACATTTGTGTTGCATGCGTGGACACCTGGTTCCGCCAGGGCGTGGCAGCAGTTGTGCCTCGTGGTGTTTAAGGTGTTTCCGTCTCAAGCTCACAAGTTCTGTGGTTGAAATAAACTCAGAGTGGCATCTGGGATGCCCAGGGTCATGTCTGCCCTCTAAGTGTCCGGGATTCTAGTTTCGTGATCTTCTTTCCAGACCTCTCCTCGTTGTGCATCATCAGAGCAGGGGCCGTGGTTGCTGTGCGTGGCCGTAACACCCTCCCTTGGTGTTTCTGTGCCCACAGAGAGAGCGCTGTACAGTATGGAGTGTGCGTTCCACCCCTTGTTCAGCCTCACCAGCGGGGCTTGCCGGCTGGATTACCGCAGACCCGAGAACAGGTGAGTGCAACTGGCCTGAGGGACTCGCAGCTGTCCCCTCTCTTCTCCTGCGAACGAGCTCAGGGGCAGTGCTGAAGGCATTGCGTGACTGTCCACCAGGTTGGACCAGAGCCCACAGACCCAGAATGACCCGCCTTCCTCTCTCTGGGCTCAAGGATAGAGGGACTGGATTGGCTCAGCCCAGGTTTGTCTTTGTCTGTGGACATGCCCGATGCTGCTCTGGAGGTCGGAGTGGGAGGTCTGGTGAGTCCAGGAGTTCAAGTCTAACCTGGGCACCATAATGAGACTTCCATCTCTTAAAAAACAAATAAACAAAAAGAAAAATAAATTTGTATGTGTTAGAAGTAAGCCTGGCTGGGCACAGTGATTCATGCCTATAATCCCAGCACTTTGGGAGGCCAAGATGAGAGGGTTGCCTGAAAACCAGTCTGAGCACCGTGGCAAGATGCAGCCTCTACTGAACATTTTAAAACTACCTCGGCCTGGTGACACATGCCTGTGGTCCCAGCCGTTCAAGAGGCTGAGGCGACAGTATCGCTCAAGCAAGCCCAGGAGGTCAAGGCCACAGTGAGCTGAGGTCGCGCCACTGTACTCCAGCCTGGGCACCGGAGTGAGACCTCGTCTTATTTATTTATTTTTTTTGTATTTTTTTTTTTTTTTTTTTTTTTTTT